AGTCTCTGGCCACCCATCTTAACCAGAATGTTTAGAGAAAACGAATCAATTTACCTACTAACTGCTTCTAAAGATAATTAAGAAGGAAGATGTGGTCGGGGGAAAAGAGGAAGGAAAAATTTCCACCTCCAACAGGTAAAGAGAACTGATTCGGAACTGTCTGACATTTTTCATACTGTCGGCATTGCTATTACAGTCCAGTGATGAAACAGCCTGGATTTTCAAACAGATCACAATCAGAAATCATATTTGTTTACTGAGCACCTACTATGTAGTCACAGCTCAGCAGCCCAGAAATGAATTCAGATCAGCTTAGCCGCTCTGTGATGAAGTGTGAGCCACGCAGGATAAGTGTGAATCAAACATTTATTTGGAAGGTAGGAATGAGGCAAGGCGCCTCAAAAGGAAGGAAAAGGGTACTGGCCCCTATTCTGGGAGGGACCGTCTGGGCCTCTCCTCAAAGAAAGTCTTATATGCAGACCCAGGTGCTGAGGGGGGCTTGGTGGGGCGGTGCAAGATAAAAGGCTTTCTGGAGGCCTTCTGACCCCAGCCATCCCACGGAAATGAGCAAGGAAGCTGCTGGCTGGCGGACAAGCAGGTGTGCCTTAAGTAGCCATGGAGATTAGCTGGGGCTTATCCAAACCTCTGCAGGAGGCAAATCTCTCCTGGCGCTCTCAGGGGACCTTCGCGCTCAGTCCTCTGGCATCAAATAAGCCAGATGCAGAATGGACGTCAACTTGGCCTTTTGTGAATGCAGGGCCCAGAGCAGGCATCTGGACACCATCACACTCGCCAGGGCCCCACAGAGAGTGTGCATTTGGAGAGGACATTCAGAAAAAGGGAAAGAGAAAGAAAGGGCTGCGAGGCTGTGTCAGGGACAAGGAGCCTCGTCTGGGTCTGAATTACTGTCTTGGAAGCCACGCTGTGCACCCCAAATCAGACCAAAGCTGGAAAACAGATTCTGGGGAGAAAATGGCTGGTCTGTGCTCTTTAGCAATGATAAAAACCAGAAGACTCAAAGGCTGAGAGCCGCACTTTTTAGATACCCCCAAAGAAGGAAGCAAATTAACAACTGAAGCAGTGGGAGGAGGAAAAACAGGCTCTATCAGTGCAGATTGTGTTAGTCTAACATGTCCAAGCCCATTCGCTGCCTGTAGCACCATAAACTATGGCCTGGAATCCTGACTCTGCTATGTATGCCCTGTGTGACTTTGAATAAGTCACTTAACCTCTCTGAGCGTCAGCTATTCCCTCCTAAAATAGGCCAAAAGTGACTCTACAGAGCTCTTAAGCATTAACTGGATAATTAGTGTAAACACCTGATATAGTATCTAGCATATAAAAAGGTACTCAGTAAGTTACTCTGACCTTCTCCCTTTTTCAAAAAAAGGGAAATATAATAACTATTAAGTACGATTTTACGTGAATATGGACTGTGTGTGTGCATGCATAAAACAATAGGAAAAATCCATACTATTTTAAAACCGACTGCCAGCCAGGTATGTCACTTACCCAGATCTCACACAGATGGAAAGGCAGAAGTGAGAAGCAAACTTTCCTGATGATCCTGCTGGGTCTCTGCCATTTGACTGATACCATAAAGACAGCCCAGTACTCAACCTCACAACGGTCTGAGAACATTCATGACAGGGTGTACACCCAGGTCATCTCTTGCAGAGGCATCTACCAGGAAGATATGTAGCTACAAATGCTTATCAAACAGGACTGAGACTCCCCCAGCAGACACATGGGAGAGCAGCAGGGTTTAGGAGAGCCTGGGACTTCCAGTTTTAGGTAATAGCAATACTGTATTCATCAGCTTTCCATCACTATGACAAAATACTGAGACAATCATTTGATAAGGAGAGATGATTTGTTTCTCCTCACAGTTTCAGAGGTTCAGACCAGGGGTGCTTGGCCCTGTGCTTTGAACCTGGCACGGAACACATGGCAGAGGAATCCTATTCACTTTATGGTGCCAGGAAAGCAATGACAGAGACAAGAAAGTGCTAGGGCCCCAATGTCTCTGTCAAGGGCAGCACCCAGGTACCCACACCCTCCCAGCAGGCTCTACGGCCCAGCAGCAGCAGGGGGCTGACATCTGGTCTGTAACACATGAGCCTCTGGAGAACATTCCGGATCCAAACTACAGCACCAGTCAAAATGTTCTTTTTAAACTAGTGCCACCCACATACCTACATACAAGGTGATTCACCCTAGAATGTCTGGATATGTGATGTCCTTGATTCAATAATAGCAATAATAGTAATTCCATTTCATTTTCAAAGCCCCTGCCCTCCCCAAAATCACTTACACCGGGAACTAGAATGTAGCTCTGAAGAGTGACTCACAATCTTTCCAATCACTCCCAGGGTAGAAAGCTTCTCTCCCAGAGGCCAAACGGGAGTGAATTTTGTCTTGGGTACCTTCCAGAAGCGGTAATGAGTCATATTTGAAGTATTCTATCACGAATACCTAAGCTTTTATCATTTTAGAACTAGAAGGAATAGTGTAGTACTCTACCCACACATCCCTGTTTTATACATAAAACTGAGGGAGGCTCAGACGTGTGTAATAACTTCCCCAAGGCCAAGAGGCTAACTTGGTAGATTGTGCATTCAGTGGCTGCCTCCTCCATTGGTTTCCTGAGAGTTTCAAGGACTCATGTGATTAAAAGCATTTTTTATTGCACAGTCATTTCACCACAGAACTAACCATGAAGCATGGTAAGAACACAATTATTATCACAAATATCCAAACAGTCCATTAAACATTCTTGAGAAATAAATAAATAAAAGCATGAGACGCCCAGGAATGATTCTTTTAATGCAGAGATTTCTCTGTGTCTCACAATATCTAAAACTTTTGAAGCTACCACAATTATTATGGTGATAGAAAATCACCACAAATACATTATTTGGCTTAGCTCATTATAACTGTTATAGTTTAGGGCTAGAATCCCCCCAAAAGCATTATGTGTTCAGAGATAGAGTTTTGGGAAGGTGATTTGACCATAAGTGTGCTGTCCTCATCAACAGATTGATTCACTGTCAATCTGTAGCTGAATGGATCTTTTGGAAGTGAGTCTGTTCCAACAAGGCCAAAGAAACATTTGCTGGGCTGCGACCCGGAAGGATTTATCTCCCTCCCCTCCTCCATTCTCTATCTGCTTCTTGTCATCACATGCGAAGCTTTTCTCTTCCTGACCCTTCCATCACACCTTTCCTGCCTTGGGACCAGCCAACCGTGCATGAGCTGAGACCTCTGAAAATGTGAACCAGAATAAACTCCTTTAATATGAGGGTGTTACATATTTTGTCCCAGCAACTAGAAAGTGAATGAGACACTAACTGACAAAGCTGTTTAACTCAGCCAAAATTTTCTGAAAGCCCTTACTACGTGCCAGACATGAGCTTAATGTTAAGAACACACCAGGGAGCAGAATCCATCTATGCTCAGGAAGGTCACTGACACAGGTGAGAGGTGAAAAGAGGTATTGGGGAAGATATATCAAGCTTCATGACACTGGGTTTGGTAGATTTCTTGGATATGCAAATAAAAGCATAGACAACAAAAGAAAAAAATTGACATATTGAACAGCATGAAAATTTAAGACTTCTGTACCATACAGATGAGTGAAAAAACCCACTGAACTTACAAATCATGCATTTGATAAGGGACCCAAAATCTCTAAGAACTGTTACAACTCAACAACAAGAAAACAACTTAATTCAAAATGGATAAAGACTTGAATAGACATCACTCTGAAGATTCACAAATGACCGATGAACACCTGAAAACATCCTCAGTATTATTTAACACTAAAGAAATGTAAATTACAAACATAACGAGGTCCAACTGCACATGCTATTAGGATTAGGGTGTCTACTGTTAAAAAACAACAAACATGGAGGGGGAAGTGTTGATGAGGTTGCAGGAAAATTAGATTTCATAGCAGAACGCAAAATGATGCACCCAGAATGGAAAATAGTTGTGAAGCTGCGACAAATTAAAAGCAATTATTATTTGATCTCTAAATTCCACTGCTGGGTATATTCCAAAAAATCTTTGAAAAAAGAGACTGAAAAGTATATTTTACAACCATGTTTATAATAGCATTCTTCTTAATAACCAAAATCAAACCAATGGAATCAAACAAATTGTCCATTGATTGGCCAATGAGTAAGCAAAATGTATTGCATACAAAAAGTGAAGAATTACCTTCCTTTAAAAAGGTACCTTTCTAAAGGAAGGTAACTCTAACATATGCCACAGCATGGATGAAGTTGAAGGACGTGATGCTAAGTGATAGAAGCCAGAATACAACAAATAATGAATGGCTTGTATGGCACAGCTCAAATTCGTAGGGAGAAAAAGTAGAAGGGTGGTGACTGAGGAGAGGGGGGAAGAAGGAAGTAATCTTTAATAGATACAGGGTTTTAACTTTGCAAGATGAAAAGCACTCTGCAGGGAGATAGTAATGATGGTAGCATGACAATGAGAATACATTTAACACAACAGTCCTTTACGTGTAAAAGTGGGTAAGATGATAACTTTTATGTTAACAAAAATATAGGCACTTCAATTGTCATCATCAGTAATCTCATCAGAAGCCATCCAGGTCTCTGATGGAACCATAGCAGGGCCCTAGAGGACCCACACTCACACAAAATCCTAATGTTCAGTGTAAAAGTGTGATATACGAAGTGAAGAAGAGACAAAGCCTGGTGGAAGGAAGGGGTAGGCTGCAGGACCTTAGCATGTCCTCCTTGGAGAGCAGAAGCCTCAATTTCTCCGTGGAAAGAAGTCATTTTAAATGCTATTCTGGTCTCTATAGAGTAGGCATGTCAGGACAGTCAGAAAATGTTATTAATCATTAACTTTTATTCTGACTCTTGGGAGGTCATGCCTTCTGTCTCTGGCAGGGTCAGAGCATGGAGGTGATCTCTGCAGTTGTTTGGTTTTGAAAACAAATATTAAACTTGCTGGTAAAAACTTACCAATCATAGTTCACCTAAGAGGTGCTCCAGGTCTCAGTTCCTCTGCAAGAGTGAAGACTTCCTGAAGTCGCCATAGCTTCCAAAGATGAAAATAATCAAATGTGGAACTTCAGATCATCACTGTCACTGTCAGTGGACAGAAGAAAGATGAATTACCCTGAGGATAAAAGCAAAATGATTTCCTTTAAGACCCCAACATTCACATATGTGCCATCCAATATATGGTGCCCATAAGAAGCCATACCTTTACGTGTAGCATTTAATTTATTTTCTTTTTAAACCTTTATGCTTAGTGACCCATAATGCTAGGGATATATATAAACATGACAGGCCCCAAATTTGATAACCTTACGTCCTGAAGAGTGAGAAAGCATTAAACAATCAATCAAATGTCATCATGTAGGATATATTTTGAGTTTTCTGTATAAGCTAAGGAAAGCACACATCGCTCCCCTCACACCACTTCTCAGATGAGAGAGCTAAAAGATGAAACAGTAGTGCCCTTTTATGTATTTTGCTTGCTGAAGTGACCGCCTGCAGCTCATGTTCTCCAATCCCCAGGGTCCTCCTGACTTCTCTGTCTGGACTTGGTGAGAACCCAAAACTGAGATTACAGGCGCCCATTCCTCTTCAAGCTGTGAGCTTTCCAATGAGGAAACATTACTTGCCCCTTGGTCACAGCCATAGCTTTGATCAGAAAGGCAGGCAGCCAGGGCGTGCAAAAGACAAACCCATCAGCACTATTATCCAAAGTGCACGGTTGGTGCTGTTGTCTTCAGAATTAAAAATGACACATTGTGGTGGTCACTTGGCTCTTGCAGAACTTACCGCTTGATGGCTGGTCCATCCTAACTCCCAGACTGCCTCAGACACCCAAACAAATTAGCATGTGTTTCTTGATGGCACAAAATTAGGTCTCTCTGTGCATATATGTAGGTGTGTTTCAAAGCTGCCATATAACCACATCATCACCAATTAATCATTTATCAGACTGCCACTGACTTATGAAAGATGTTATCTATCTATCAGCCCTTGTATCAGAATTGTTGGCTACTTAAAAAGCCACCCACCAGCTTTGGTCAGTTTAACAGATTAAATCTCCATGAAGAGCTCTCACTATCTTTTGAACTGGATCCATGCCCCAGGCTAAATGAAGCTTTCAGAACCAGCAAGAACCAGATGGCCCTCTAAGATCATTTCTGAATGTTTGGATCTGAGTCATTTGTATGTGGAAGGCTTCACAAAATAGCAATCTGGGTAGCAGGCTCCAGGCTGAATCTAGCTTTCCAGACAGCCTATCTTTGTCTACAATTGAGAAGACAAGTACAATATTGTAGGGTTCCACAAAAATATTACAGCATTTATCTATATGTGTAGCATCAAATACATGAAGTGTCCCTGTCAGGCTGTCACTACAATGGTAGTTCGCCACAACTTCTCTCTTTTCCCCCATTTCTTCTTTTGCTTTTTTCCCCCATTGTACCTACAATTTCTCTTAGCACGGGCATATAGCCAGCTTGTGAATCAGCCAGCAGAGGGTACTACAATACTGGTGCAATAATCCAAATTACAGGAAATTCACAGCTGAAAAGGATGTAGACTAATTAAAGTGGGCTCCAGTTTTATTTCGTGCTGGGAGCTCCTAGCCAAAAAGAGGACGTCTGTAGGATGGAAGAGATGGAAATAAAACCGGTGGACAGAGCTTGCTCATCTGAGGAAGAGGAAGGGCAGGAACATGAATCCAGACTCACAAGTCCAATAGATCAGGACCAAAAGTTGGGTGGGATCTCCACAGAGGAGTCTGTGTGCCAATCCTGCTTCTCAGTATTTATAAGAAAACTCGTACCACATAAATACATCTACACAGATATTTATAGCAGCTCTTTATAATCATCCAAAACTGGGACCAATAAAAATGTCCTTTAATCAGTGAATGGATACATCAAATAAACAAATTATTGGCACAAGCAAAAACATGGACGAAATTCAAAGGCACTATGTTGAGTGGAAGAACTCATTCTCAAAAATGTTGCATTTATGTAATTCCATTTATATGGTATTCTCAACAGATTAGTTGCAGGATGAAACGAGATTATGACCCTAAAGCAGTGGCATGAAAAAAAGTATTTGGAGTGATAGATGTTCTGTCTCCCACTTTGGATGCTGATTTCGTGAATCTATACAAGACCTAAATTCATAGATTTGTACAGCAAAAATTATAAATTTCACATGTTAATTTTAATAAACAAAAGGTTAAAAAAAGAGATCAATTTAGAAAGTATAACAAGTTTTAATAAGGGTGAGAGACAGGCTCTGCAGTGGTTGATTTCAGTAGTGGTATTTCGCTAAATTCCAGCAGCTGGAAGGGACCATTCAAGCTACCCAGACCCACGTGGCGGTGACTGGGCAAAGGGGTCAACACTGATGCAACACCACAGTCTGCCCACAGTTAGGAACCAGCATCCAGTACAATGGAGGACTTCAAGGATTTCTCGACCTCAATCAATAGTAAGAAGGCTGGCGGCCGACAGAGGACAGCTAAATCAAATCTAGCCCCCTCACTAATATACCAGGAGCCTGGTGGAGGAAAATAATGGGAATCTGCCAACATATACAGCTTGTGAGCACCCTCAGAGTTCTGGGGTCCCTTTCCTGGACCCCTCACACAATCCTATTAGTCGCTTCCTCCTCAGCCCAGTAGATTGGGGTGGTATTTCTTGTCATCTGTTTTAGGCAGATGCAACTATGTTTTATACTTAAAAGAAACCAAGACCTAGGCGATACCTAGCAAGTCATCATTATCCATCATGCTACCTTCCTCGATCTTTTACTTCTGTTGCTTCTTTTTTCTTTTCTCAGATGAAACTGCTCGCAAATTCCTATCCCTCAGTCCTATAAGAGCCCTCTGTCTCTTATTCAGTGCTCAGAAGACCAACAGACACAGTCAGAGTTCTCACCTACCAAGTCACTTCTGATATCTCTCCATATTTGTCCTCTATCTAACTTTAAGAACTCAGAAGAGAAAGAACCATCTCACACCACATATGTGGCTGTCTTGCATTGAAGCACCATTTAATCTGTGAGCACAGAGTTGGTTGAGAAGTCGAGAATCTGGGTATTGGTCCAACTCTGATGACAACTGGATGTGAGATTTTTGGTAAGTCTTCCTTTCTCTGGGCCTTTATTTCCTTTACAACATGGGCTGTTTTGGATTAGATCTTTAAGGAGCTTTCTAGCCCCACGATGTTTCTACGTTTAATATTAAGTGCAAATGGACAATAATAAAACTGGGGCACAGAAAGACTGATAATTTTTAGTTTAATTCAACAAACGTACTGAAATTCTATTCTGTTTTTGGACTATATGCTAGCAAGGAGAGATATTAAAATAATTAAGAAAGAAGCCGACCTTTAAGACATATCTATGGGTCAGAAGAAGAGCTTGGGGTTAAAAGATCTAGGTTCAAGAAACACTATTCTTCCTGGAACAACATAAGCAATTTGTTCAGTCTTTTCGTACCTATTTCTTCTTTTATAAATTGTGAATAATAAGGCCTCCTCCTTGAAGTACAGAATACGTGGGAATATGCTGGTTTCTATTATTAAATCATCTGTATTCTGACCTTCCCCAAGGGAAATATCATTAGTCTTCCTCATCTCATTCCATTTTGGAAATAATCTTCACTCTTAAAATCTCCCCATTTCTCAAAGCTGAATATCCTACTAATACTCTGAAATGCAAGTCAAGCTCTACATCTTCAAAAAGACTTGTCTGTCTGCAGCCACCAAGAATCTTTACTGCTTTTGGTTTTCCTTTGACTTCACTGAACATGCTATTTTCTATCGCTTCATAATGAACTTGAGAATCTATGCTTTTAAACTCTTGAAAAATTCCATCTTATGTAACCAACTACTTGTAGGGAAATCAAATTCCACATGTATTGAGTAGAATCCGTAATGTAATGAGGAGACCCTACTCCTCACTGCACTCATTTAAACTAATGACCATGTTGTTTGTTGTGTTTCCTCTCTGTCATACGCTCTCAGCCCTGTTTATTTATTTTCAGCTTTCACGTACCTCTCAGATGCATCTCTCTCACCTGCATCATCACAGCCTTCCTTGACCATCCCTTGGCTAAATCAATGCCACAGCAGAAAGAAGGATATACTGTATCATCATCACCTAATAAGCTTTATCAAAATATCTGTTTACCTTCCCATTACCTTATGTCATACCAGAAATTCAGTTGAGGGAGAACACAGTGCCTTTGTACTTTTACAAAAGCTTGCCAGGTTGTTGTGACCGATTACCATTCCCCATTGAAAATCACTATCATTAGCTTTCTTTTTGCCAGTTCTTTCCTTCCTCTGCTGCCCAAGCTACTGTTCAAAACCTCCAATCCAAAAATAATGACTCCTCTTTGCCTTTCAGATATAAATACATGAACAAACAACAAATTCCTCAGCTAGGCCTGCAGAGCCCAGCTCCAGGACACTGTCTTGACCTGTTTTCCCCCATTTCCTTCCAGACCCCAGAGGTTCAGCCAAAACAAACTAGCCCTTCTCTTCCCTGCACACACCATACCCTTGCCTTGGTTCCCACCAATTTATCTTCTCTGAATTCCCTTCTATTCTCATCTTATTCTTCTACCTGGGAAAGTTCTACTCAACATTCGGTACTCATATGAATAGTTCTATGAGGTCTTCCCCAATCCTTCCTCTCAGGAAGAGCTGGTTGCTTTTTCCCCTGCATCTTTGCTTTACACTATTCACAGGGCTCATCCACTGCGTCTCAGCATAGGAGGCCCCCCTGTTGGATTTCCTCATGAGCATATGAGTTTCTCCTTTGATCTCCTAAAAATTTTTATAACTCTAGTCTACATCCTATTCTTTCTGTGTGTAATGCTTCATCACCTATTTGTCTCCTAAGTTAGACCATAATCTGTTCAAAGATAGGTAGCATTGTCCTTCTTTGAAGCCCCAGCACAAAGGAAAGGTCCACAGCTTTAGAAGGCACTAAGTGCCTAATTCTACAGGCAAGACTCAGATTAGACCCCGTCTTCATAACAAGCCTTTCCTAGCCTTGACGAACAGCAATCAGCTGCTTCTGTTATCACGCTGCACTAC